GGTGGCTGTGTCTCTGCCTCAGTCGGGGTGTCGGTGCCAAGGGGGCGACAGGATTTGGGGGTGTCCTAGCCCCGGCCGATGGAGGGGAGGTGAGAGTGGGAGGCAGGGCCCATAGCGGTAGGAATGGTGGGGGGTTGTCCCCCCAGATCCCTCCCTCCCTCCCTTCCTGCTGTCTCTCTGAGGGCTGGGGCTGCTGCTGCCGCTATCCCCCGCCACCCCTCCCCACGCCCGCTGGTTTCCGGGGCTGGCCAGGAAGTAGGGGGCGGTGATGGGCGCCCTGTTTTGCCAATCGCCTCCCGGGGACCCAGGCATCTCCTCCCCACATCTTTCAGTCTCCTCTTGCTAGCTCCACCCTACGAGAGCTCAGCTGGGCTCCGTCTCGGTCTCTGGCCTTTTCTGGCTCCAGCTGCACCTTCTTTTCTCCAACTTCCTTTCAGCACACATGGCTTGCGTGTCCCTTGGTACTGTATTCCTTCCTTGGCCCGTTCCTTCTCATTCTCCATCAGCTCTCCTCTTATTGTCAACTTGTTTCTTTTTTTCTCCTTAACTCCCACATCTGCTGCTTATTCCCTCCAACTCCAACCCTTTTCCATCTCCCTCTTCCTGTCCCCCCATTCAAGTCCAAATATTTATCAAGCACCTACTATATGCCAAGCTCTGAGTTCTTCACCTCTCTTCTTTTTCTCTCCAGGACTCCATCTCACTCCACCTCACCCTCCAGCCCTCTTGTCTGGTTTCTGCCCTTTGTCCCTGCCACTATCTCCCTGCAGTCCAGCTCCCTCCTCCACTGACCTCCTCCCACCCCCACCCCTTCCTGGTCTTTGGAGAGAAGGGACACTCTCAGGCCCTCTCCCTGCCCGTTTCCTTCTGTGATGTACTTTAACCTCAGTACCTTTTCTAGTTCCTTCCTTCTTATCGGTCTCCTTACTCACCCAAGCTGAGACTACCCCTCTCCTCAACGTAGAAAAAATGTACTCTTCTTCCAGTGGAAACTGGGCATTAGGGTTGCTTTCTTGAAAAAATAAGTGAGGAAGAATGCTGATTCCTCTGGTATAAGCATGCCTCCTTAATTTTGTAGTATGTACCTAGCTCTCTCTCCAGCCCCTGCTGCCCTCTGCCCCATACTCCCACCATCCCCTTATCAGGATCATTCCATCACTCCTCCCTTCGGTCTCCACTTCTGCCTCTCAATAGGGTTTTTCCCTAAACCTCTACACGCTTCCCGAACACTAACCTCCCCTGCCGTAGGCAGCTCCTAACTTCTCACCGTTCCTCACTGAGTCACGTGGGACCTTTTATCAGGATGTTGTTGAAGAACCCTCAGCTTGTGTCTGGCCTCCACCCCCACTAGATACCTTTGCCCTGAAAGAGTTTACACGCCCTGAGGAACAAGATGTAAAGAACACTGGTAATGGGAGGACTGTTACCTAGTTCTGCTCCTTGAGCCACAGTGAGGGCCACTGACTGTAGAAAAGGCCCAAACTCGTACGAAAGGCCCAAACTCTGAAGCAGCTTGCCCAAGTCCCAGGGGTCCAGCCCAGGAGGAAGACCCCAGTTCTGCGGGGCACAGTAGAAGAAGGAAGGGGCGGGCCTAACCCCTTTCCGCCGCGGGTCGCCTAAAAGGGGGTGGATCTTGCCTCTTCACCCACTCACAAAGGGGTGGAGCTAGACCTTTTCGGCTCTTTAAGGTTTAAAACGGTGTCTAGGGCAACTCTGTTCTACTCTGTGTCACATTAAAAAGGGGATGGGCCTTTACTTCATTTCTGCTCTGTAAATCACCTAAAGAGGGGCGGGCTGAGTCGTCCAGCCGAGGGAGATGGGTTAACACCAGCGCCGCAGATCGATGCTCGCACCATCCAAACGTCGGGCTAACCCCAGTTCTGCTCCCTTCTTCACTAAGAGGGAGGGGCGGACCCAAGTTCTGCTCTTTACGTCACCGAAGGAAGCCGGAGCCATTTTGAACCCTGCGACCCTAGCATTTGTCCTCTTTTCCGAGCTCTTCGCCGTCTTTTCCGACCTCGGCCAATCAGGGGCGAAAAAAACGGCCCAATCAGTCGAGAGAGACCGCAGTCGGAGGACCCGGATGAGGCCAAGACAAGGCTTTTGAACCCCAAATCCCGCCAATTGTAGAGCAGTCACCATGGCGACAATATAGCGGTGAAGGGGTGGGACCAGAGAAAGCTCAACTCTCATGGGATTGGCCCACCCCTTCCCTCCTCCTACTGCGCACGCGCGCTTTACCTGGCCTCCATTTTCCGTCGAGTTCTAGCCAATTAGTTGCTTTGGAGCTATACGCTCCAAAGTCCAAAGGAATCCGGACGTTCTCTGAAAGAGGAAGTAAAAGAAAGACAGGGGCTTGTAGTGGGCGAGGTCTAAGTAGTCTTGAGCCAATTGCTTCTGGCCTTTGGTTATGACTGGCAACTACTCAGACGAATAAAGCCCTCCCTGGCCGGGGCGACAGGACGTATGGAATATTTACCAATCCCATGGCATTGCAAACTGACCGTGACTGTTTTAGCCAATAGTCATTGTGCAAGGGCGGGACCGCGTAAACCTCTTTCCTCCCCCGCCCTTTGGACCAGTCCTTTCTTTCGATTCTGTATGATTGGCAGGCACTGAGACCAATAGTGATTAGAAAACCTTGAAGCCTGCCAAAAGATCTTGGGCAGGAGGCGGTTTCTCGTTTGTTGCGGCGTCTGTATGTGTGTTTCGGGGGATTAAGGGACACGCGGGGGGCAAAACAGTACCGGCCATGGCAGCAGCGGAGGAGGAGGACGGGGGCCCCGAAGGGCCAAACCACGAGCGGGGCGGGGCGGGCGCGACCTTCGAATGTAATATATGTCTGGAGACTGCTCGGGAAGCTGTGGTCAGTGTGTGTGGCCACCTGTACTGGTGAGAATCTGAGAGGGGTGCGAAAAGGAGTGGGGCTCAGATTTATACTGGGGAGGCTGGGGGCGGGGGGGACCATACAGTCATACAAATAATCGGAGGGCACATTCTCATAGGTGAGGCTTGAGGGGGGTTCTTACGTGTTTTGGGGTATGTGTGGGCGAGAGGGTCACGTCTGTACGGAGGAGAACTGTGGAAAGGAAAGTCATAGCAACTAGGAGCCAACCTAGTTGTGTTAAGAGGTGCGTTAAGAGGAAGTGGGGCTCTGCACATCTGTGCAGGCGAGACGCGAGCCACCTTACCCCAGGGAAGGGAGGGGTCTTAGCTGTACAGGTGGGATCGGATTAGACTCAAAGGTTAGGGGAGGCACGCATCAGTTGAGTAGGGGGACATCTGGGGAAGGTGGGATCACATGCAGGTGAGATATGGCAAGGGGTGGTATGGGAAACTTGGGGACAAGGGCACTGTGGAGGGGCATCCCCCAAAGGTTAAGGAGTTGTGGAAACAGGGACTTTGTTGGGCATAGGAGAGAGGAAAAGGAGTAGCGGGAGAAGGTGCTGGTAAAGGGGGTTTGGTCTGGGAGTGATGGGGGCAAGGGTAGGGCTGAGGCTGAAAGAGGAGACCTGGAAATGGGTGGTTGAACAGGACTGGAAATTAAGTCGAAAGGCAGAGAAGGAAGGGGTGAGGATTTGTGTGTGTGTGTGTTTGCTGGGGGAGAGAAGAGAGGAGAGGGTTGAGCATGTTGAGGATGGATGTAGCTTTAGGTGTTGGAAGATCAGAGAAGCAGCAAGGCCAAGTTGGCTAGTATGGTAGGGGTTGTGGAAAATATGAAAAGAAACAGCAGGTAACACCTGGTAAGAGGGGGAAAGATGGGACCCTGAGGTTGGGTCTGTGTCTCTCTTTTGTGTAACTGGTTTGACCTTTCTCGTTCCCCTTCCAGTTGGCCCTGTCTCCATCAGGTGCGTACGCAGAGGAGATGAAGAGGGAGATGGGGAGGTCTGAGGAGCTGGAAGACCCTTCTGTGTACTGGAAACCACTACATTTTTTTCCCCCAGTGGCTGGAGGCACGGCCAGAGCGGCAAGAGTGCCCAGTGTGTAAAGCTGGGATCAGCAGAGAAAAGGTTGTCCCCCTTTACGGGCGAGGGAGCCAGAAGCCCCGGGATCCCAGGTGAGAGAGGGGAGGTGATGCTGAGGGAAGGTGGAAGGTTCTGCTTGGGGAGTGGGGTGTGGAAGAGGAGGGACTACTTCCTGCTGATAGGCCCTCTCCTCTTCCTCAGATTGAAAACCCCACCCCGCCCCCAGGGCCAGCGACCCGCTCCAGAGAGCAGAGGGGTGAGTCTTGTCTGATTGTATTCCTTCCTTGCCAGAGACTTGCCCCGTTCCCCACTGACTTTCTTCGTCTCCCTAGGGATTCCAGCCATTTGGCGATACTGGGGGCTTTCACTTCTCATTTGGTGTTGGAGCTTTTCCCTTTGGCTTTTTCACCACCGTCTTCAATACCCACGAGCCATTCCGTCGGGGTACAGGTAAGAGCCTTCCCTCAGCTACTACCAGCGAGCCGTCTGAATCTCCTCAGCCCCGCTTCCAGCCTACGAGTGGATATTTCTTCCACAGCTTTCCTCTCTTCCACAGGTGTGGATCTAGGACAGGGTCACCCGGCCTCCAGCTGGCAGGACTCCCTCTTCCTGTTTCTCGCCGTCTTCTTCTTTTTCTGGCTGCTCAGTATTTGAGCTGTGTCTCCTTCCTGCCCACCTCCAGCCAGAGGAAAATCAGTATTGGGGGTCCCTGCTGACCCTTCCTTACTCCCGGACCCTCCCCTGTAAGCCCTCCATTTTTGTTGGCTAAGGGCAACCCTGGCCACTTTCCAGGAGGGTGTGGGGAGGAGTGACACCTGTGCATGGAATGGGAGAACCTTTGCTCTGAACTGCTCGCTCAGTAGCATCGTAACTCCCAGCTCTGGGAGAGGAGGACGGACTGAAGACAAGGTCTGTCTCCCCTCTCTCCTGATCCTTTGCTTTCCCCCCCATTTCTTGATTTGATGTTGAAAGGTGGGCAAGGCTCCCTCTGACTCTCCCCCATATTCCCCTTGTTGATTTAATTTAATTTTTCTCTCCCCGGTGTCTAATGTGGGTCCTGACTCGTAAGTGCTTCCTTCCCCTCACTACCTCCTTTATTACAAATTCAATAAACAAGTTGAGATGTATTCACGGGAACTCTGCCCACCTTTGTCCATCCCTCCTTCCTTCCAAGACAGGAGCATTTCTCTCCAACTTCAGTAGATGTCGGTGTGGTGTGGTGAAGCATGGGGGTGAGACCCTCTCCTTCAGGGCTCTCAAGGGTGCAGGGGGTGAGGGCATCACACATACACAAGAGCAAATGTGTCAGGTGTTTACTCATCACTTTTTGTGAGAGGCTCTGGTTGTGGAAGAAAGTTTGGGGAGGTGGGGTAGAGATTATACAGGGGAGAACTGGTCTGGGGCCAGAAAAGAGGGTGGGAAAAAAAAAGGGAGCTGATGGATGGGGTCTGGCTGTGGGCTTCTCAAGGCCCTCCTGCGCTGCTTTCTGCTGCCTCAGGCCCCTCGGGCTGATTCAGCTCCGTGCGCCGCTCCTCTTCCTCCTCCTGGTTTTCTGGGACCTTCCTGGGGAGGAGGATTGGGGAGAATTCTGCACATGGTTCCCAGCACTCCGTCATTTCTCCCCCCGCACCCCTCCTTGCTGCCTGGAAGCCCTTAGTCGGAGGTGTCTGGCTTCCTCCACTCACCTCTCCTCTCCTCTGCGTTGCCGCCTTTGCCACATGATGACCCCAATGAGCAGGGCGGCTGTCCCCAGGCCTCCCAGGATCCCCAGGGCCAGGGCTAGAGTTCCCAGCTCCGGCCCTTCCACAGAGCCTGTAGGGAGACGAGGAGAACTGAGGGCACAGCCCTCACAGTTCCTTTCTTGTTGCCCATCCCCTCAGTCATGCTGAGGTCTGTCTGCTTCTCTCTGACTTTATCCAACCCCTCACCTGCAGTTGGCCCCTCCTCGCCTGTTTCTGGAAAACAAAGTCAGAAGGGAAGGCTTCAGTTTGGGAGAAGGCTAGTGGGAGCCCCGGCGGAGCCTTTCCCTTTCTTCAGTTTAGAGGGGAGAGGGGACAGGCTGGGCTCTTCTCTTGGGTTGTGTGGGGCAGAGAAGGCCTGGGTGTGGCTGCACTGAGGGAAGCGTGGGGTGGCTCTCGGGGACAGTGTTAGCATAGGGTAGGGAATTGGAACCTGCACGGTCCCTCAGCCGCCCCCAGGGTCCCTGGGATTTGGAGAGAGGTCTCCTCACCGATGATGCTGACGCTGACAGCATGGCTCTCCTGGGGCCCATGGCTGGGATGGGTGGCCACACAACTGTAGGTTCCCTGGTCCTCAGGCCCTACCTCAGGGAGGAGCAGCACGGAGCTGGTGGGAAGGGGCAGGGGCATGCCCTGGTGGGGAAAAGGGGACAGGAGACTTTTTTTGCGGTACGCGGGCCTCTCACCGCTGCGGCCTCTCCCGTTGCGGAGCACAGGCTCCGTCCGGACGCGCAGGCTCAGCGGCCATGGCTCACGGGCCCAGCCGCTCCGCGGCATGTGGGATCTTCCCGGACCGGGGCACAAAGCCGTGTGCCCTGCATCGGCAGGCGGACTCTCAACCACTGCGCCACCAAGGAAGCCCCAACAGGAGACTCTTAAAACCCCTGCCAACACATCCCATACTGCTGTCTTTGCCTCCACATCATCAGATACCCTTGTACCTCCTCGCCTGCCTCGCTCTCCATGAACCCCCTGCCCTCCTAGTTGCCAATGACGTATCTCGCTACCTGCCAGCCCCCTCTCCAGGTCACTCACATCCTTGATCCAGTGGATTTGAGGAGGGGGCTGGGCAGGGGCTTCACAGGTCAAGGTCACGGTACCACCAGGAGCTACTGCTCCACCTTCTGGCTCCACCACCAACAGGACTTCCTCCTGCGGCACAGGCTCTGGGGGTGGGCAGGGGCATGAGGGTGAGAGTTGCACCTGTCTGTGGTCCCAGTGGCCATGGGCTTAACCCTCTCCTTCCTGAGGGTCACACCTTCCCACAGGTGCTCACCCAAGTTGGGGCCCTCCCCAGTTCTGTGCTCACCCCAGACCCTGAGCTGGATGGGGGCCGTGTGCAGGGCTCGGCGCCGGGGAAGGCCAGGGCTGAAGCTACAGGAGAAGGTGGGGTGGGGAGCTCCTCCCCGGGCTGGGGTCACCATCAGCTCCGAACGGAGTGTGAAAAGCCCTGTCTCAGGGTGTCTCTTGGTCTCTTCCTTCACAGACACTCCTATGGTGGGGGGAGGACAAGGCAAGACATTCCAGGGTGGGTATGGGAGAGAGATCGGGAAGAAGGCAGCTAGGAGGGAAGACGCTGGGACTCACCTTTGCCATCAGGTATCAGGGTTTTCCCATCCAAGTGCCAGCTAAGAGTCCCTGCAGGGTAGCCCCCCTTGGACACACATGTTCCCACCTGGGGAAAAAGTGACCTCATCGTCTTTGAAAATAAGAGAATGCATACACATACACACAGCTACACTCCCCTCCCATTCTCAGGACCCCTTTCCACATCTCGCCTTTTCTTCTACCTTACTGGGGACACCAGCCATGAGTTCAGAGGCAGGATCAACAATTTCTGGCTTCCCAGGAATCTCTGAAGGAGGGAAAATTCCAATCAGAGGCTGCAGCTTTGAAGATACACCCCAGCTGTGAGAATGGGGGCAGCTGAAGTCAAGTTCTCACATGCCAGGGCCCAGGAGTCAAGGGCTGGGGTAGAAGGCTTTTCCTTAGATGAGAGGTGGGCTGTGAACAAGGCCCTGGAACCCTTACGATAGACTCGGACTCGGTAGTTGGACTTGGTCTCCTTTCCATTCCGGCTCATTGCCTGGCACCGGAAAGTCCCCTCATCCTGGATCCCAACAGCCGGCAGGAGGAGGGAGCCGTTGGGGAGGACACGAGCCACGCTATCCCAGGGGCCTCCCTGGGGAGATAGGACCTTCCAAGCTTCTGTCCGGCCTGTGTTCTGGGGACAGAGGAGAGGGGCCTCAACAGTGCAAGCCGTTTGGGAAAGGGCTCATGAGGTAGGGAGGTAGGGAGGTGGGGAGGAGGAGATGCGAATCGTCATTGGTCTCTCCGGAAGTGGGGAGACAGGAGCCCCACTTACCAGTTTCCATTCCAGCTGCTGGGGTGGTTTCTTGGGGGCCCCCTTACAGTTCAGCACCAGTGGCTTCCCGATCCTGGCTGTGATGTTTTGATCCCCTACTACTGCCCCTGGGAGACAGCACCACAATGGAGGGGCAGGAAGGGAGATGGGAGCTAATAAAACTATAACAGGGCGGATGAGGGAGATTGAAAAGCAGTACCCAGGTTCCTGGAAAGTTGTGGGGAGTTTCGGGGACAGGGGCAGAGTGCTTTCTGTGAGGAGGATTGGTGTGGGGGTGGGGGGGGCAGGGCTCACCCCACAGACTGAGGACCAGCACCCAGGCTCCAGCTGCTGCCCCTGCTGCCATCCTGCTTCCTTCCCAGGCTCCTGGCTCTGTCTGCCCCTTGCTGCTGTGGCCACCACCCTAGGTGGGGCTTGTACCCTCTCCCCTGCCCCCATCTCCCCCGTCTTGTCCCGTCACAGGGAATGCTAGGAATTCATGCCTCTCTCAGACAAGAGTCCTTCAGGTACTGGGAGAAACAGCTGTCACCCCACCCCTGGGCACTGCCAGACTCTGGGTACAGCCACATCCATGGGGGTGGGGAGTGCATCTCCTAGGGTCTCTTCATCCCCTCAGGACCCCCAGCCTATTGCACCAGACCACCCAGGGCTACTGGACGACTAGGCGAGGTTGCTAAGCAACAGGGTTCAGGTCTGGCTGTTTCCCATGGAGAGGAGGCAGGGGTGAAACCTGGGGCCTGGGTGGTGAGGGCAAGGCCGGGGAACTCGGGGGAAAATCCCGTTTGGGGCTTTATGAGAGAAAAAAAGTTCTCATGTTTTGGAAAAGAATTCTCAACTAAACCCAGGGAAAAAAGAAACTTCTTTATTTAAAACTGCGTTTTTTGTTTTTTTTTTCTGTGAAACTACAAGTTTACAAGTGAGGAGAGAACTGCCCCAGGCCCATGCCTCCCGCCCCCACCCATCACACTCCCAACCTGGCCCCCAGGCCTGCCTAGATCTTTGACGGGAGGGGTTCCCTACTGACAGTCTTGTGAAATCCTGAGGATATTTGAGGGGTTCAGATAGTAGGGTTCAGGGCCGAGGGTGGGACAGTGGTGATTTTACCTTCCCTCATACCTGGCTCTTTGCAGCCTCCCTCCTCTCTCTCCCCACCCTCTCGATTTTGGACTGAGAAAAAAAAAAAAAAAAAAGATACCTCGTTTCTGGGGAAACTGAGGGAGATACATACACAAACACCCCAACCCATATTTAACATATTTGGCAATAACCCCCCTCCCCATTCTTCCCCCTCCTATCTGCAAATAGTGGTTTAAAAGAAAGATTTTAGATGTGTCACTCACAGGGGAAGGTGACATTTGCTCAAAATTACTGAGTCTAGCCCTGCCCAAGGGTGGTGGGGAACAGGCTGGCAGAGCGAGCCCTGACTGCTTCCACAGCAAATGCAGCAGAAAGCTGCCTGCACGAGCAAAGAACACCTCGGTGACCCTGGAAGCAAAGGAGAACATCTAAGTGATTTCAGGGGGGCAGGCTTGGTGCCCTGCTAAATGTACTTCTGATGAACAGGAGTGGAGGCAGGCAGGCCTCTTCACCAGTTCTATTTGTTCCCCTTTTTCTTATCATGACCCCTTTGGCTATCACCCCTAATGTGGGAAAGCAAGAAATGAAAAAAAAAAAATCAACATATTTATAAAAACATCTACTTCCCCAAACTAAATTAAAAATTAAGAACCACCACCACCACCAAAAATCCCCGAAATAAAAATTAAAAAAAATACAGATGGATCCCAGGGTTAATTTTTCTTTCCTTTAAAAAAAAGTTCAACCCCAAAGCCCAGTCAACAATTCCCTAAAGTAGCAGAAACTCCCTCCGAGGTAGATATCTGAGTCAGACACTCCCGTCCACCGAACGATTCTATTGGTTTAAGATGAGCTGCGTATGAGGTAATAAAGCCGTCTGGGGGGGCAGGGGGGTGGGGAGGCACAGGGGGCGTGGCCCATGTTCTCTGTCCAGAAGTCATGTCCCCATTTTTGGCATCTCTGGCTGGGCAGGGCTGGCATCTCCACAGATCCCAAAGCAGATAAGTGGGGTGAGGGAAGGAGAGTGGGGGAGCCCAGAGAGAGAGAGAGAGAGAGAGAGAGAGAGAGAGAGAGAGAGAATAGTTGTACGTGTGTGTATGAGAGAGGAGAAGAGGAAAACTCTGAAAAATAGGATTCTGGGTGCGTGTGTTTCTATGTGAGAGAAAAAGGGGGAGAAAAAGGAATGAAAAAGGGAAAAAAGGGGGAGACAGACCCCACTCTCCCCTTAAGGGGCCCCATCTTCCCTGCCATGTAGTCAGCACCCCCAGCACTGAGAGAGTCTGGCCAGGGAGGGGATGACCCCCGTTTGCCCTTCTCTATCTTGTGCTTCTCCTTTGTCTGGGTTTTGTCCTCTGGATGCCTGCGTCCTCTTCAAGAGGTGCCTTGTGAGCCCCTACCCCTGTGGCCCTGAGGGGCGAGATCAGTTGGAAGTGTCAGAATGAACGCTCCCTGGTCCCTCTGTCGGGGATGTCACTGAGGACGGGGTCACAGCCTCCTGCCAGCCACCGTTTGCCTGGAAAAAGAGGCAGACAGTTGGGGTAAGGCTTTAGGAAACCCAGCACAGGGGACAGCGCTGCCAGGGAAAAGGCCCTCCCATCCTGGTGAGAGGTGGAGAGAGGGGCTTCAGGTACTCACCCTCATTTCCCGAGGGCTATACATCTGGCCTCCCCCGAGGTTATCCCCGTAGCCCCCTGGCCCCATCGAGTGTCGGAGTGATTCCACCTGCAGGCAACAAAGGAGGATAGGACACAGTGAGAAGCCTCAAAGGAAAAGAAGTCTCATATCCTAAAGTAGGGAAACTGAGTTTGGGAAAGCCCTACTCAAGGCGAGATGGACCACCTGACCTGGGAGGCAGAGTAGGAATCTCCGTTGAGCCCGGGCATCCCCAGAAACATGTCACCGGATCCTGAGAGATTGAAAGAGCCGCCAGAGCCTTGGGGGAGCAGAGGGGGAATTAGGGAAGAGTGTAACAGAGCCTGTGATGGCAGACGGGAGGCTCATCACAGCTCTCAGTTTTCAAAAAGCCCCCTGAACTAGCTCTCTGGGGGTTGGGCCACCATACGCAAATTCTCTACCAAACAACACTGCAACACTCAGAAGGAGCAGGCTGTTCCTGAGCCTCCCCTGGCCACTTGCTGGAAGAAAGGCAGAAGTAGCTTCACTAGAGTGGCCTCTGCCCCCTGATATCCCCATCCCATCTCAGCTTGGTCCCTCTCACCCCAGAAGGCCCCCTCTCTGCTATGATCCCGCCTAGATAGGAAGTTGGAACAAAAGCAGGAAGCGCGCAGAAACAGCCAGCCAGGGTGGCAGCGGGATCCACCTGCGGAGGAAGGGGGCGTTGGGGAGCTGGTGCGGCTGTGGCCTCCCTGGGTGACTGACACAGCGGTCTTGACGGCATAGATGTTTGCCTCCTCTTGGAACTTTCCAATATTTTTCTTATAGCGAATCCGCTTGTTCCCAAACCAGTTGGAGACCTGTGGGGTGTGGGGCAGAAAGGAGGGTCAGGTGGAAACCTGTCCCTCTGTAAACACCTTAGTCAACAGGATTGGAGAGCGCTGTGCCCCCAGAGCCCCTCCCCACGCCTCCCCAGTACCTGAGAGACGGTGATCCCGCACTTCTTGGCGAGCTCCTCCTTTGCCTCCTCACTAGGGTATGGGTTACTCAGGTGGGAGTAGAAATACTCATTCAGGACCTCAGTGGCCTGTTTGCTGAAGTTACGGCGTTTCCGTCTACAGGGGAGAGAGGGGGTGGTGAGGAGGATGCTGGTGTCCCGGCAGGGCCACCACGTTGATCAACTCCAGAGAGCACCACTGTCACGGGGTATACGGTGCTGTGTTGCACAACCTGGTGGCCCAGAGGCTTGGAGGACGTGAAGGGGCTGGGGGCTGGGGGCTGGCCTGGGGCCCCGGGCCGCACCTGGCGTCCAGGAAGCGGGACCGCAGGATCATGACGGCCTCGCAGGTGCTCTGCTTCAGCTGCATCTGGATGGCGCTGAACTTCCGGTGGATGATGCTCACCATGCGCTCCATCTCCTTGGGTGCCACTGGCCGCGTGCGGCTCTGCTCCCTCAGCAGGTTCATGACGTGAGTTGTGAACTCGTTACACGCCTGCAGTGGGGGCCCGTGGCCTGGTGAGGAGGAGCCCCTTGGCCTTGGGATTCCCCCTAAGGGCCTCTCCCTCCACCCACTCCAGCTTCCTCTCCTCACCTGCTCATACTTCTCCAGCTCCGAGTGGTAAATGTGGCGGATCTGGGCAAGTTTGCTGCGATAGTCCGAGTGTTCGATGGAGTTGTCAGGGGACACGCCGCCTCCGGAGGCTGCGGCGGCCGCAGCTGCTGCGGCTGAGCCACCCCCTTTCTCAGGCCCGGCCACACCCTCTGCCAGAAGCATGTTGTCCAAGCGCATCAGCTGTGGGTCCACAGGCTCCTCCTCTTGGGAGCTTCGAATGCTGAGGCCTAGCGTGCAGGCGAGTGGACTTAGGGACCCAGGGACCCCACACCCAGCTCTCAGCCCTCCTGGTGCCTCCTGGAGACCCAAGCCTCCAGGCCTGGGTTCCCTCCCAGGCGCCCCCCTTAGCAGTCTTCCTGACCCACACTTTCCTCAGGGCCCCAAGTTGTCAAACTCGTAGCCCCAGTTCTATAGTGAACAGGGTTCTGTCCCCAGAGTTGAGGAATCAGAAGGGGTGACCCACGTACCAGTTTTCTCCTTGATTTCACACAGGACGCTAAAGAGAGCAGGCTTCATTCGGTGGCAGTTTAGGGCGTGTTTCCTTGGGAGGAATGGGAGAGAAAAGTTGAGAGGCTACAGAAATGGGGGAGTGGGAAAGAGAACCACAAAACGACACACCCATGAGGCTAAGAGAGGGGAGCCTGGGAATAAGGGAGGTGGTGGGTAAATCTGTGGTGGGAGAAAGCAGGATTGGAGGCCGAATGGAGTTGGGAGGTTCTTGGGAAGAGCTCAGCTCCCAGAGTGTGGAGACATGGGGAAGCTGCTTGGCTTTGGCTGGACAGAGGGAAGGTGCAGCAGGCTAAAGGCACCATGGCCGGGTGGAGGTTGTGGGAGATGGTCTAGAAGCGTACAGAGGGGATTTGGGGAATGGCTGCAGAAATGAGAGATTGGGTAAATTTCAGCGGAGACAGGAGGCTGGGGAGAAGAGTCAGAGTTTGAGGTGCCAGAGGGGGCTAGGGGTGCTGAGCTAAAGTGGGTAGTTCAGTATAGAGGTGTGTGAAGGGTCCTGGGACCGAGCAGGCTGGGAGGCTCTGATGCTCCTAGTGTCAGCTGAGCAGGGGCAAAGGGTGAGTGAGGGCCCTTGGAGGCTGGGCCATGCATGGAGAGAAAGGGTCACAGCCCTGGGAAGGGGTGTGGAGGCCCCTAGGATGAGGGTGGGCTGGAGAGTTAGGGGAGAAGACAGCATAGCTGTTTCTTAGTCTGGGAGCCAGAAGAGGGCTCTGGAGATGGAAAGATGTTCCAGGGGAGAGTGTGTGTGTGTGTGTGTGTGTGTGTGTGTGTGTTTGTGTGTGTGTAGGCGGGGGTCAGTGACAGGCCGGGGTGGGGTGGGAGGGAGACCATCTAGCGTTCCCCTTTTTGAAGGTTTCAGGGACTGGGGGTGAAGGAAGGTTTGAGGGGGATCATTTATCTTGGGGCTCCCGGGAGTAAGGGGAGGAGAGAAGAGCTGTAGTATCCTGGGGAGGGTCCTGGAGTTGGGGGGCTCCCAGAAGATTCAGAGCTTGTGAATGGGGCTTCTGCTGGGTCTGTGTGGGGACCGGGTTGGGGGCACTCACTTGGCCTGGGCCTCGTCCAGGCTCTGGTCGGTGATGGTCATTATCTGCTGCAGAATGTCCCCGATGTCTTGCTTCCCTCGGCCTCCCGGGACCCCCCCGCTACTCCCACCGGGGTCTCCACCACCGGGAGGTTCGCCAGGGCCCCCAGGCTCCCCACCCACCAATCCAAGGCCTCCCCGGCCCCCGCCTGGAGGGGGCGGCCCCAGCAGCCGCTCGTCCATAGTTGGGGGGGGCCCTGAGGCCCCCTCCCTGCTCCGCCCCTCCCCCCCCGCGCCTGGTTACTTCCCCCCCAAACTCGCTGGGGCCGCTGCTCCCTCCGCCCCAACCCCCGCCCGTCTCCCCCGCTCCCGGTTCTCCCGGGGGTTCACCCCGGCCCTGAAAGGAGACCTGGGGTACCGTCTGGGCCCCCCACGGGAGACCCCGGCCCCCGGCGGCGGAGAAAATGGAGCCGGAGAGAGAGAGAGAGAGAGAGAGAGAGAAAGAGAGAGAGAGAGAGAGAGAGAGAGAGAGAGAGAGAGAGAGAGAGAGAGAGAGAGAGGGAGAGAGAGAGGGAGGGAGAGAGAGAGAGAGAGAGAGAGAGGAGGCCCAAGCGGGGGTGTGTGTGAGAGAGAGGGAGGAGGGAGGAGAGAAGAGGGGGGGAGCGAGGGAGGAAGGCTGGGGGAGGGGAGCCGGGGAGGAAGAGGAGGGGAGAAAAGAGGAGGAACAGGGAGGAGCTGGGGGCGGAGAGAGACACACAGAAACGTAGGAACGGAGACGAGTGGAGGAGGGGAGAGGGGACGAGGGGAGGAGACTAGCCCATGGGGAAAATAAGGGAAGGTCCCAGGGGCTGAACTTCTGTGGCCTTGAAGCGGGGGCGTGTTGAAGGCTGGGGGGCCTTGCACCTGGGTTCTGAATCCGGGATCTAACCGATGAGGACTCTGGCCGCTGGAATGCCTGGGTTCACAGACAGCTTAGTTCATATTTCTTATCCTAATGACTCCCCTCCCTGTTCTACTTAATTAAAACCAGGAGGGGGGGCTGGGGGGATAATTAGGGAGGTCTCCAGCCGCTGCTTAATGAGCCAGTAATTAACCAGCCAGGGAGGGAAGCTGGCCTCTGGCCAGACTGGGGAGAGTGGTGGCCTCCGGCCTCACCCTCCTACCCTCCACCCCGCCACCCGAAACACCAGTCTTCAGTCCAGAGGGGAATTACATTTATTCATATAACCAAACATCAGACAGCTCAGAACAGCAGTGGGAAGGGAGGGTGGGCAGGGCTAAATGTCCATTCACAGCCTGTAGGCCCCTCAGTCCAGGGGCTGGGTGTGCCGGTGATGGAGGTGGGAGAACAGTCTTTATGTCTTTGCTGTGCCCTCTCTTCCTTTCTTCTTACTGAGAAGGAGGGTGGAACTGTCTCTCAGGTGAAAACCTTGGGAGATTTGCCTTTCCTCTGGGAAATGAGCCCCTCAGATCCTGCCTGGTGGCTTGACTACGGGGGGTGTCCCCACAGTTCAGGACAAAGACTCCCAGCCACTCCCTGAGATCAGAGGAGAGGGTGAGGTGTCCCACTGTGGCTGGGATCCTCTCATGGCCTCAAGCTCCTACATACTTGGTCATGGAGGGAGTTCAATGTCCATCCTACCTTGACTATTCCCAGGGTTTGAGGATTTCACCCGCTCCGGTTCCCAGGAAAGGTGGATGAGGGCGATGAATACTGAGATTTCTGCTGGGTCTTCCAGTCTCTGGTGCCCCTGCCTGGCAGGGTTGAGGGCATGCAGTGGGCTGCCCAGCTTTTGAGCCACAGGAGTGCAGAGGGGGCTGGTGGGGCTCAAGTCTCAGCAGGTGTGGGGGGGGGGCTGGGACCTTTGCTCCTCCATTCGACCCCCACCCTGAACTCTCAGCAGCAACTCCAGGAGCTCCTGTCCCCCTGGGGGTAAGGGAGGCTCTGACCGCTGGGCTTCCATCCGCTGGCTCTGGAGGAATGGAGGGAGGGGAGGTTGTTGGTGAGGTTCTAAGAGGAGCAGGGCTTGAAAGGAGCCAGGGCTGGTGTGAGGGGCTGGTGTGAGGACACCTGTGATGGGGGTAGGGGGAGTAGGACCTGGCAGGGCAGGGGGGCAGATGCCTGAGGAGAAGGAGGGGTAGGACCCCCAAAGAGTACAAGGGCCAAGAGACCAAGAAGCCTGGGTCTTGCCTCCTGGTGGGGAGGGGATGGGTGTCTCACCTGGTGACTGAGGATGGTGCTGTAGAGCTGTTCTCTGTCCTCAAGAGGCCGGGGCGGGGCTTGGCCTAGGCTTGGACGGTTCTTGGGGGGATGGAAGGTGGCCCTCTGCTCTTCTAGGCGGCGGGACTGGGCCTCAGCCACCAGGTCCAGAAGGAGCTCAGTCTGCAGGGAGAGCAGGGAGGCCGAGCGGGGCCCCAGGGCTGGGGAGAGGAGGGGGAGGGCTCAGACACCCAGAGAATTTGGCAGACAGCAGTGGTGGGTGTGTGTGTATGGGGGGTCAGAGCTAAGGGGGTGTGATGGGGAATCCGGAGGAGGTGGGGAGAGAGCCCATGATGGATTGGGCCTTGGTCATGGGATCAGGAAGGATGTGGGCACCAGGGTCAGGGAGCTCCTTGGGTGGGTGGGGGTACCTGTCTGGCGGGACCCTGGAGGAGGAGGGGACGGAGGAGCAGATCGCCAAGGCCGATCGCTGGTGTTCACAGTGGGCCAGCCATGCTCATCCTGATGGGGGCCCTGATGCTGAGAGACATCCGTTCCAGTCAAGTGGGGGTGGGGTGGGCAGAGGGCTAGGCCAGCAGCCCGTTTCCTCTCTCTGCGTCTCTGTTCCTGCCTCTGTGCCCAAGCCTGTCCAAGTCCCTTGAGTCCACCATTACTCAGTCTCTGCCTCAGGTCCTCTCACCTCCCTCTCTCCCAATGCCAGCCTCCCCAACCCGGTGCCAGCTCACCTGCTCGCCATCCTCTTCTTCCTGGGGTCTCTCAGCCTCCATCCCCTGGAGGGGAGAAACCGATGGGGGAGGGGTAGCTGGGATTTGGGAGGAGGGCCGGAACCCTGAGTTCCTGAGGGGAGTAGGGGCTGAAAGGGGTGGGGGTGAGCCGGGGGCTGGATGCCTGGGTACTGAGCAGGAAGCTGGGTTCCTGGTCAGCACCCCCCCGGGCCCCGCCCATCCCTGTCAACTTCCTCCAGTTCTCTTTTCCCACCCAACGGCTTGCTTGACCTCTCTCGCCCCGGGGGAGCACAGAGACTGGAAAAACTCCTCCAGCTGCAGTAGGGATGGGGGTTCAGAGGGGGAAGGACTTTTGGCTTTCTCATCTCCAGAGCCTCAGGAACCCCCTAACCTCCTGCTCTGTTCCCTCCACCCCCCTCCCTCCCCTTCAGTTCTGTCAACACAGGAACTAGCTACAGAGGAAGTGGTTTCACTCCTCAGAATCCCCCCACCCCCCCCACTCCTTACCCCAGGTACCTTCCCTAGGAAGGACCTGCCCCCTGCTTCCCAGCTTCCCTCAGACTTATTGGGTCGGGGAGGGGCATGTTTCCAGTGGGAAGCAGAGGATGTCAGGCCCTCAAACATACATATACCCCTAGCACTGTGTCTAACAAATATGTGTTAAATAGTTATCATTGCCCTATACGTGCTTAGAGTCTATTTAGGGCACAAAATATGCACCAAACGTAAGAGACGCAGGGGAAGCTTTCCTTTCGTCATGAAATGGAAAAGGGAGAGGGAACCACAGCCTGCCCTGGTCTTTGATCAATGCTAGTCAGGCTGGCTGGCACCAAGGTGGGAACAGGACAGAGACATTTGGGACCTCTAAATGGCAGCCTGTCATGTTAGCTGAGTGACTGAGCATGAAATATGATGAAGAGGTCAGGTTCTGCCACTTAGGGCTTTGCAATCTTGGGCAAATACAATCTCTGTGCCTCAGTTTCTGAAGGAGTAAAATGGAGGTTTTTTTTTTAATAGCGTTGATACGAGGATCAAATGTGATAAAGCATTTGGCACATAGTGAATGCTCATAAATGGTAGTTATTATTCGTTTTCAATATGCTTCATGTCTCCGTGTCTCAGGTCTATCGCCATGAAAGAGGTATAGCCATATTGCTGAATGGTGGTTAAAGTTTGAGGTGCTCTCTCCATCTCCCTCTACATGAGGCCTCAGGAATCTCCCAAGTGGCTATAAAAAAATGCCCTTGGAAGAGGGACAAAGGGTATGCATGGTTTAGTGTGTGTGTGTGTGTGTGTGGTTTCTCATTGGGCTACTAGAGACTCTTGCCTTTAGATGATACCCTAAGTTAACATAGGACCCCAAATCTACTCATTCCTGCTCTTAAAACTGTACTCAAAGCTTCCATCCAAATGTTGAACCTAGGGCACAAAATTCTGAAAACACTCTGCAGTCAACTTCGTGTTTTTTCCATTCCCCAACCCCTCCAAAAGACGGTAACACTTCAAATCAGCTTTATTATGGGGTGACAGATTTGGGGTTCTTAGATATAGTGGTGGCTAGAAGAGTGGCAGGCACTTCATCCCTGCAGTGGTTTGTTTGGGGGTGGGGTGAGGTGGGGAGAATGCAAGGAGTCATCAGCTGGAGTGACCCTTGGCCCTGCCTTCTGTGCCTACACAGTGCCTGGCACACAGGAGGTGCTCAATAAATATCTGTCAGCCGTTTGTGGGTAGTGGGGGTTACAGGCGATAGAGGCTCCCTTTGGAAACAGTATACAGGAAAGAACATCTTACATTCTATCTGTCTGCAGTTCTTGGTTCAGGGGTACTTCTCCCATTCCCCTCCATCCTCCTGTAACACCTCATCCTTATTTTCTGTGAGAGAGGCTGGGCCTGCTTCATCCCAGCACCCCGAACCCTCTTTCCAGGGCTGCAGTTTCTCCACGTGGAAGACGATGTGGCATACACCATTTTGGGAGAGACACTACACTCATGACCCCTCACTTTTGAGGCTCAAGGATCTTAAAATCTGGAGGCCTTCCATACTGCTTGTCATTTAATGAGTACTCACTTTTAGAATCCCTCCCTGACATGCAGCCTTTTATTTCTCACCCTCGCCTCCCGCATTTAAGGTTATTACTTGGTGGGCTGGGGGACCCCATGCAACTTGAGGGGATCCCCGCTCAGGGGACGGAGTGAGGCAAGGAGGCGGGACTGGAGTGTTGGAGGTGGGGCCGCAGGCTCCTAGAGCCACCCAATCGCAGGGCCAGTCAACAGCTGAGGCCACACCCCCGCTCCCGGCCGCGACCCCGGATCTTCCTCGCACTATTGCAAGGTTGGACGGAGGCCCGCGCATGCCTGCAGAAAACCTACGGCCGCGGAGGGGCGGGCCTTCTCCTGCTCCTTTCGATAGGCTTCGGCAGTGCGAATAGGCCCCGCCCCCATGGGCGGCCAAGTCTACGGACAAAGTCCGGGCTTGAGGATAGGCTCCGGCTGACAGCGTCCGGCAGCGCGGCTGAGCCCCGCCCCCACGCGGGGGCACGCTTCCTGATGCAGTCCGCGCGCGCTGCAAGGCGCCGGCGCCGCGGCCCGGCGTCGCTTTGTGACGAGCCTCCGGTGGTCCCGCCCCTTCCAGCAGCGTCAGCAGATCCCAGTGGTTGCGCTGGCGTGCGATGTCCCCGGGCGCTAGCCCGGCTTGGTCCCGCAGCCCTCGGGCGGCTCCCAGCCCCAGCAACAGCTGGGCTACCTCCATGGCTCCTTCTCGGGCCGCCAGGAACAGCGGCGTCTGCTCCTGCCCGGGAGGAAACAGCCAGCGGGGGCGGTCAGGGAAGGCCACGCCCACAAGACTGGCCCTCCTACTTGACCGGTGGTCCCTCCCCCTTCAGGTTTTTCGGAGTTCCGGCGCTTTGCACCTCTCCCGCGTCAGCTTAATTGTTGGGGGCCCGCTACCCGGTCTAACCCTGCCGTCCAGTGCGTCTTTATCGGCTCCGGCCTGGAGAAGGGAGCGGGCGGCCCGGGCGTTGTTCACGGCGGCGGCCCAGTGCAGCGCGGTTTTTCCTAGGGCACCACGTGAGAGGTTGTTACCCCGAGGCTGGGGGCCCGACGCCTGGGTTCCTGTTTCCCACGGATTCTGGACTTGGGGGAAGGGCTATTCAGCCCGCCGGGTCCCTCAAAGGCGGAAGCGTTGCCCGGGTGACCGCCGGCTTGCAGGAAGCGTTGCCCCAGTGACGTCACCGGCGCGCGGGAGGGACAATGGGGCATTGTTCTGGGGTCAATGGGACCGGCAGACCACGTCCCTCCCACGAGACCCCCTCCCTTCTCACACTCTTCCCCCATCCTAGTTCCCAGTGGACTAGGGTAGTGTGTGTGTGTTTGAGGATGATGAGGGCAGACTCACTTGCTGCCTACTGCCACCGTACTGTGCAGATTTACCACCTTGACAGCGGGGTGGGAGGGAATGCCCCAGCTTCCAGTTGGTCCCTCTGCTAACCCCCCTTTTTTGCATCTTATCTCACACCCCATTTGCTCAACTTCTTGATAGCACAACATCAACTTCCCCAGATCCATACCCCATTTATCTCTGGCCCCCACATCTGCTTGGGCTGCAATCAGTTCTTCAACCAGGTCCTCAACAGCTAGCCTGGCGGCCAGCATCAGGGCTGTGGTCCCATCCTCTGTCCGCGCATCTACTGCAGTCTGTCTGCTGCGGAGTAAGAGCTGGGGCGGGGTGGGGGTGGGGCGGCAGAGAGGGCCAGTGACCCCTGGTATATCTGGACTGCTAGCTAAGGTCCCTCACACTGTTAAGCACCTCCGAATCCATATTCATCCATCTGTTCTTGTTTCTCTTTCAGTCCCCCGTCTCACATCACCTTCCTCTCTGCCAAACCCCGAGGATGCTATTGCCCAGCCTTACTTGCAAGTTTGCCCCGTTTCCTTTAGCAGCCCCAGTGTGCACTGACCTGGCAAACCTCCCGAGCATCAGCAGCCACAGCGGTGTGAAGCGGGGTGCGCCCTGCCCGGTCTGGCTGGTTGGGGTTGGCTCCTGCCTCAAGGAGGCGGCGGGCAGCGGTTGGCCGGGAGAATCGAGCAGCCAGGTGCAGGGGAGTCTCCCCAGTGCCCACGGTGTGAACCTGGGGACAGGCCCCTCCACCCAGCAGAGGTTCCCAGGGCTCAGGGCTTCCCAACCATGTCTCCTGATAGGTCCTGGACTCCACTCCCCCACAGCAGACTGCTGACATCAGGGGTGTCACCCCATCTGTGGGTGAGAGACATGAAGAATGGGAGACAACTGGGGAAGGGGGAGAACATGGAGGCTCAGGGAGAATCACAGCTTGAGGTGTCAGGAAGCCCAGCTTGGGTTCCTGATTTTGTGTGGCTTTAGTCAAGTGACTTTCTACTTTGTTTTTCTCTGGGCTTTGGTTTCCTCATCTGTAAAAGGAAGCATCAGGCCTTAATACTCTAACATTCTAGGGCAGTGATTCTCAAACTTGAGTCCTGGATCAGACTCACCTGCAGGGCTTGTTAAAACACAGATTCCCCAATATTTTGAATTTCTGAATCGGTAGCTCTGGAGTGGAACCTGAGAATTTATATTTCTAACAATTTCCCTGGTGATGCTGATTCTTCTGTCCTGGGACCACACTTTGAGAATGGCTGTTGGAAGCACTCACTCTAATATTAGTTTCTCCAGTTCTGATGTCAAAGGATTTTCTGATTCTAAAAGGGTCAAAGGGAGTTTTCATTTTCTTGGTCTGGGTTGGCTCACATACCAGGTCCACGGGTGTCCACATCAGGGACATCCATCTCAGAATCCTGGGGAGGAGTCAGCATGGCTGCCTGGGGGAGTTCCTGACAGTCACTACTCAGAGGCCAGAGCTGGCACTTGGAGGGTGAGGCCATTTCTTCAGCCTTGGGGATCAGGACAAGCAAGGATCAGTGAAGGAAGGTTGACTTGTCCCTTCAACCCCTCCGTCACTTTAGGACCATTCCTGCCCCAGTGCTTTCACCTGGTCCGCCTCTTCTCCTTCCTTGGGGCCTGAGCACAT